AAAAACAGTGAAGGCCAACAAAGGAAACCAAGCTGTGATTTGATTCCCAAAGGTCGCAACATAAGCAGATAATATATATACATACAGGCACTATAATACATCTGAGGTCCACCATAGTTAGGCAATATTACAAATTTTTAGTGGACAGTTTGTGTAAAGTACATCTTAGATCCCCAAATCAAGAGGGTGGGGTGGTGAGAAGAAGAGTGTTGAGTTCTGAGGAAATTATGAAAAACTATAAGATTTCCCAGCAAACTTGATTATCTTACATTTTTATGCCATAACCAAAAGATATTTCACAAAAGAATTTTTAAAAAACTAACAAATAGTCTTGGTCAGATATATAGATATTAAGAATTAATTTTCCTAATCATGTGTGCCCAAAAGAAAGTCATTATAGACAACATAAAATTTAGAAAGCCTAAGTTATCCTAACTTGATTTAAAAAGTTGAGTCAAACAATTAACATGAATCATTATGGCTGTCCCACAATACTATTTCAAATTGTTGTTTTCTCACTTGTTTTAAATGTGAAAGCTTGCAAATTTGGTTTCTGCTCCTATAAATCCACAAAATAGAATCCATCTAGTGACCTTGGTAAAACTTCATATTTACAGTCTAGATGCCATTCAATACAATTGCACATGGACAAGGAATCATTCACATCTTGGTATTCTTCCCAATGAGGCTTTAATTACAAGAGACTGTTATTTTTCTATCCTATCTGAAGACTAACAGCTGTGGGAGCTTCCCTTCCTCTAAGAAGACCATTCTCTTAGAATACCACTCACGGATCTGTTTTGCTCTTATCTTGAGTGAGCACAACTACTCAAGGATCGCCTTGCTCTTGATGCATAATTTTCAACTGCAGAACTCTATGCTGAGCCCAACCCATACCCATCTGCTCAGTGAGCATGCACACTTGTTTACTTACATACACGTGGTGCTCATACCCCCACGAACAACCCATCCCCAAAGATGTGCAAATCCAAACATTCCAATGCATGATACCATTGCTCGAGAAAGTCGGATTTTTGGATCATTTCAGAGTGCAGACTTTTGAAGTCAAACACTAGATAAAATCTCAAATTTTACATTTTGAGATGTTTAAACATTTTGTTAGATGTTTCAAATCTAACAAATGGAAAAAACTGGAACACCTCTTGTGATATATCTATCATCAATGTCCATGTGCTTTTCTCTTATGAGAACCAGGGAAGTCTATTCTGTCTCCAACACCATCACTTCACCAGTACATGGTTTCTCATTTCTCTGATCATGTACTATGACATTGTATAGGGGCCCTCGTTCTTCAAAGACCGATCTGCCTCCAGTTAAATTTTTCCATGTTGCTAAAGCGATATCAGCATATAGTCTAAGTTTCTCATTTAGAGATATGTGGACTCGGAAAGTTGGATCCTTGAAGCTTTCTCGGCCATTCATCCACTGCTCCCTTCCACATGATATGACTCCTGATTTGCTCCTGAGTCCTACTCTTCCCATTTCGCACTTTCCCTTCTTTATCTTCAATTCTCCCATCTACCATCATTTCTCAAATAATAAAATAATAACAAAACAAAATGGTCTTGAGGAAGATTGTTGGTCTCTGGCCTGGTGAGCAAGACAAGTAATTGGCTGGGGCAATTCGCTAGGAGCATAGGGAGAAGCCAAGCGAAGCTGCTCTCAGTGGCACTTACAGGTTTGAGGAAGGAACAAGCAGTGCAGTGGTAGACAGTAAGTGTTGTATCAAATACAATGTGGGGCAGAGGTCAGAACATGATTAGAGGGAATCTCCATTGGATGACTCCAGAAGAGCTAGCACCTTCGCAAACTATGAACGCCTCAAAGCAGCAGACACCAGTCCTCTCCAGCTGCCTATTGCAAAGTAGACATGAGAGACATTTCCAGGAAAAGAGATGTTGAAATGGAGACCATGAAATCTTGGCTTGAGTAGAAGTAGGAAGGCAGGGAGGGAAAAATTGGATGAATAAGTGGGTTCTGGGATGAGATGAAATCCACAAAGACTGCTAGAATGTGATCCACAGACCACACAATAGCTGGATTATAAGGATAAGAGATGTTTCTCTTAGACTCTGGAGCTAATGCAATAAAACGTTTGGCCAGCATTAGACACGGTCTGTCTTTTGAACTGTTCAAGAGATTTTTACAATAAAGAGTTAGGCACATTTAAACAGACTCTGAATATATAAAATCGGAATATTCTCCTGTGGCTCACCTGGGCACAGGCTGGAATGACAAAAATGTACTATTATTGATAAAAACCCAATTACAAGCAAAGATTTGACAGATGCTATTAAGGTAGCATTTTCTATAGTTAGCTATGGGTTTTATTTTAGAATTTGTCCTTTATACCTAGAAAAAATCAAGAGGCTCCAAATTCTACCTTATAAAAAATTATCTTAAGAGAAATACTTTGGCATCCATCATTCTTACTATGCGTCACTAAATACAGGTTCAAGAGAATGAATGAAGAAAGATGACCATTCATTTTTTTATACTTTTCACACATTTGATCAAAGTGTGTTTTCCCAAGGCATCTTCATTGTTGTCTATATCATCATTTGCCTTTATGATAACATGTAATGTAGGACCCACTTAGACACACACCTTTCACATTCACTACTACAAAAAGTAGCCAATAGAATGTCAGACACATGGAATTTTTGTGGCGAGGGATTGAACTCAGGGGCTCAAATATATTTAGCATGTGCTCAACCACTAAACAATATCCTCTGATCCCGTAAATTTTTTTGATCCTGTAATTTTTATAATGAACAAATAATCCTATAACATTTGAACAGGATCAGAGATAAGTAAAAAAGACAATATAAAATACCACAATGAAAAACAAAGGAAGGCTTAATGTATTTAACCTAATGACAAAAGGTGATGCTTGCCACAGTCTAAATATTTTATTATCATTATAGAACAGCTTTTATTTAACCCGGAAGTGTACAACTTCTAATAACTTTACCTCATGAGAAACAAGTTAAAAGATCTTCTTCAATTGTCATTAAAGTGTAAAAGGATATTTACTCACTTAGCCTGACTAGGAAATCCTGACTTCTCCATGTGTAAACTACTAAACAAATCCTATAGGCTTCTGTCTATGCCTTGAATCATAGATGATTACCAAAGAAAAATATTTATGGTGTTCTTCTGTGTTTTGGAAACCCAATTCCTAAATTTTCAGTAGCTTGTATTTTTTTAATTCATATTTTTATTGACTAAGGAAAGTTTAGTCATAAAAACACAATTTAGAAATTAACAATATTGTATAATAAATCATCTATAATGTGATAACATTATATACAATAAATCAGACATAATTTATAACAAATTTATACTATGGGTAAGAAATCATGTACAATGTGTGCCCTTGCCAACATTTTACATATGAAATCTGTCAAAAGGTCTGTCTTAGTTTTAGATAAGTTATAGAATTAAAAAGTCCTACTTCTTGGGCAGTGGTGGTGCATGCTTTTAATCCCAACACTTGGGAGGCAGAGGATGGTGGATCTCTGAGTTTGAGGCCATCCTCGTCTATAGAGTGAGTTCCAGGATAGCCAGGGCCACACTGAGAAACACTGTCTTGAAAAACAAAAATAAACAAAGAAAAAAATCCAAGAACTTCCTACTCCTTACTAAGCCACATAGGATTGCTAGACACTTTCACCTATATAATCTTCTATAGTCAGGCATCATCTTTTTAAGTGACACATTCTTGATCTTAAAATTCTACCAGGTGGAAAAACCAGGACTCAGCCTTTTCATCAATAAGGGAATGAGATACCAGGGTTCTTTGATATCTAACCACAAGGCTATGATTTTGGCAGAGGAACACATTAGGAATGAAGATTTCTGCCTTAGTTCATATAGGGTTGAATCTGAAAATGATAATCATTTTGATTCAAGATTCTCAACAGTTTTCTCATTCTCCCTGATTACCTTAAAAGTAGTATTTTTCCATCTAAAGGAATCTGTGCTTATGTCGATTAAATGGTGTCATGACTCATTCCTTAGAAGTCATCACCATTGACCAAACTATGAAAGCCACCTTCAACTACAGAGAGAGCAGACCCAGGCTTCAGAGTGTTATTTGGCCTCTCTCTCATGCCACATTTGCCTCAAGGAGAATTCCTCAAGAAGCAAAATCCTTCCCAGAGCATGGCATGATATAAATCTGATCTTCAGAAGAGACATTGCATTCCAGGCCTGAAATGTTTTGAATAGTAAATGCTTTGATATAATTGTAAGTTTCAATGACTTCAAACAATGAAACCAAATTAAAAAAAAAGAAACAAGTTTATTTAGTATTTTTTTTAATTTTTCCATCCTGCTTATGTCTCCAGAATGTAGGAAGTATTATTGAGATAATATTTATAGTTAAAAAGCTCTCTGAAAAAAACTTATCAATTATCTAGAAGTATTAATTCACCCCACAAAAATAGCAGATGGTGTCCTGAAGATTTAAAAGACACCAATGGACTTTGTTCTTTGGGTACAATGTTTTGACAAAGAAAATAAATACCAGATTGAACTGAGGTCATATGCAGAATTAAATGTTGGTGATGTAGCTCAATGGTAGAGCATTTGTCTAACATGTCTGCAAGGACCTTAGTTCATTCTGCAACACTGAAAACAACATCAGCAAAGAACAATTGCAAAGAAAGAAACACTTCACAAAATATCTAATCTTTAAAATAAAAGCACAAAGTTACAATGTCTTCATAAAACAGACTGTTTAAAGCAAGACTGTGCTGTTCACAGAACACGGTCCAGTAACAACGAAGACTAGCAAACCTAGCAAATCGCTAGCCTCTTATTGCCTGCAAGATGATTAACCCAAGTCTTGTTTGTTTGGATATTTGGGTAGTCGTTGCTTTTTCAACAATGCCAAAATTGTCTTGTTTAAACTTTCGTTGAACCAGATGCCTACACATCTGCCTAAGGCAGGCAGAAACGTCAGTGCGGTTTACCTTGACTAATGAACTGCTCCATACTCTCCTTGAACGGCTGCATGTGCTCCTCCGAGGAGACCTGGTACACTTTACCTGCTTCCACCTCACAGGCTGAAATGAAAAAAGCAAGACCATTGGTAGAGTGCCACGTTGTCAAAGTGAATATTACATTTATAATTTTTTCCCCAAAAACATAAGAGCCAGTGTCGGAAAATCCTTCTACCATTTTCACTAACATGTGTTGTGTAACCACACTGGAATCATCTTCATAGATATATATTATATACCCCTTCAGTGAACCACCAAAAAGACATTGACAAGAATGTATGTACCCAGAACTACCGCTTCTCAACTGATCTGCTGGATAAGTGTCTCAGACTTTAGGACTGCAGTTCCTTCATGTGCAAAATGGTAAGGATACCAGAGCCTATATCCTAGTGCAGTTCTGGGGCTGAAACCTGCTAAGAGCTGGGAGCTGCAGTGGTGGAGCCCAGGACAGCAGTAGCTAAGCATTTCTACTCTCACAACCATCAACAGACTTCTAATGCAAGTTTATCTCTAATTACAGTCAAAATTTCTGAAACATAACACAAAGAGGAGGTGACCTTACCAGGGCAGCCAGTATTACAGGGCACGTACTTGCCAGCACCAAGTACTTTTGGCCAATAATTTAATCAAATCTTTAAAGGAAGGCAAGAAGAGAGGGGATAGGACAAGGCCAACTGAGGAAGCTAGGGTTTAAATATGGCAGCCGGAAGAAAGAACAGTCTCATAAGTGAGTCTGAGCAAACACTGATGTTTGTCCTCCTTTTCCATTCTACAGTATCATAAAGCCCTCAGGACAGATACAGCTGGAATTGAGAAGCATTTCTATGCAATTCTCTGAAGCCATGCCTGTCACTGTGGGAAGGAGGGCTCTAACTCAGTAAGGGATCTGAAGCTGAAAGCTATACCCTTGAATATAAATATTGTCCCGATCCATGCTGGCGTTTGGAAAATGGGCCATTATTCGCTTAAGCTGAGTTTGTTCCTATAAAACCATGTTTCCCTTCAGTGAAGTCACTTAGCAGTGTGTGTGCGATGTGTGTGTGCTTCTTCACTGCCAGGACTACTCAGGACCTACTTGGTGAAGGGAATGAATGGGTCAGATAATGAGAGAGACTGCAGCCATCTGCCTTGGATTGTATCATTGATGACAGCCCCACAAAGATAGAAACATTTTTGTTTGTTTTTTTAAATCTGATTTATTTTATTTTTTTAAAAAAGAAAACAAACTATCTTTTTTTACATTTTATATACCAACCCTAGTTCTCACTCTCTCTCCTCCTCCATTTTTTTCCACATTCCCTACCCCACCCCATCCACTCTTCAGAAAGGGTAAGGCATATTGCTTTGAGGAAGTTCAAGGCCCTCCCTACTATAGCTAGGCTGAGAAATGTATTCATCCAAAGAGAATGGGTATCCAAAAACCTGTACCAGCAGTAAGGATAAATCCTGGTACCACTGTCAGTGATCCTGCAGTCTGCCCCAGCCATGCAACTGTCAACCACATTCAGAGGGTCTAGTTTGGTCCTTTGCTGGTTCCTTCCCTGTCTGGCTAGGGTTTGTGAGCTCTCATTAGCTCAGGTAAACTGTTTCAGTGGGTGTCCCCATCATGGTCTTGACGTCTTTGTTCATATTCTCACTCCTCCCACTGGTCAACTGGACTTTGGGAGCTCAGCTCAGTGCTTCACTGCGGGTCTCTGTCTCTATTTCCATCAGTTTCTGGGTGAAGGTTTTATGGTGACATTTAAGATATTTGTCAATCTGACTACATGGCAAGGCCAGTTCAGGCACTCTCTCCTCTGTTGCTTAGGATCTTAGCTTATAAGTGAATACTAGCTGTTATTATTATTATTATTATATTACTATTGTGAGGATTGAATCCAGGGTCTGATACAAGCTGGACTAGCCATGTGCTGAGCTATACCTCAAGCCCTCTTTTGACTATTTTGAGAGGAGGTCTCACTAAGTTGCTCATGTCTTGCCTTGCACTCACTCTGCAACCCTTGCCAGTCTTAAACTTAAAATGTTTTAGTTTCTAGAGTATCTGAGATAATAAGTCTCTGCCACCCAGTTTCATGTCTTCTTCTAAATGTCTCCAGATGATCCTAAGAATATACTTGATCATATCATACTTCGAAGAATTTTCTAATCTAATCTATAAGTTAGATCCTGAATAGGAAAGCAATATAGCCATTGTTTCTAGAAAATGAGACCTGGTTTATTAGTGTCCCCCTTAATATTTCTGTCAATTATTCTTAGCAGAGTCAAATGAAGATGCTAAAAGGTCTTTGAGCAGCTTTGAACTCTTAAACAGTCTCAGCAATATCATCTCAAACTTCTCTTGACTGCCTTCCTGTGGCCAGGTTTTAGCTCCATACATTGTAACAGTCAGGAACATGGCAAGACTGCCTCTTTTAACAGGGAGCGGTTTACCCTAAACCATTCAGTCTAAAGTATTCCTTCCATCTCAATGAAAAGAGTAAAAGCCTATCACGCTAGTGTCTACGGGTTTAACGTAGCATGAAAGAAAAAAATAATCCAGACTCCTCCCTTGCCTGAGAGGCAAGGAAGATGAACATTTGACTAAATAGAAAGTAGACCAGGCTTAGTGGCCTGCAATTCCACTTGTGAGGTAGAGACAGGATGATCAGGAGTTCAAAGTCATACTCAGCCATGTAACCTTAAGACCTGCCTAAACTAAATACATAGGACCCTGTTCAAAGCCAAAGCAAAATAACATTAGAAGATAGAATGGTCATAGTTTCATCCATGGAGTTCTAACATGTCTAGAGATGTACAATGCCCTAGGAGCGCCTTAACAGTAGGAAGAGATGGAAACTCATCTAACAGGGCTGTTGTTTTCGGGAAGGGGAAGAGTTCACTATCAACAAAGCAGAGCCAGATCACGGGCTGATTGTGGCAAAGTCTTTGAATGTTTCCACTCAGCAGGTTTGACAGAATAGAACATTTAACAAATAAGAAAATAAAAACTGTGGGTTAGGGAGAAGGCTCAGCATGTAAAAACCTTACCATGCAAGCAGGATGACCTGAGTCAAAACCCTCATAAAGCATAGAACAATAGCAATGACCATGGTATTCCTACATTGAGGTGGGAAACAGAGATCAGTAAATCCACAAAGCTCAAAGGCCTGGCTTACAGGTCATGACAGCTAATGACAAGAAGGACCTGCTTCTAGCCAAAACCCAAGGTATTCTCTGACCTCTACAAGCATGCCAAGACATGTGAGTACCACCATTCACATTGGCAAACATACACACACTCATCTCTCACACACATATAAACTGTGCACATACAAGAAAAGAAAACATTGCAATACTTTGTTTTTAGATTATTTTTATATTTAAATTTTTTCCATTTAATTTTGCAAGTAATCTCACCATACTCTTATGAACTATATTCTTAGTATAAGGTAAACAAAGTTATGTTTTTCTCTGTTTAATGTAGCTTTTACCTTAAGTCAGAATAGAATTAATTCCCTGTACACAATGAGATTAAGCACAATTTGAAGTCTAGGAAACACGTGAATAATGTTTGGCCAATGTCTTGAAGTTCCTAGTGTAGTCCAGGAGCTCACTTCTCATGAAACTGTGGTAGCCATCAGTATTTACATCTAGATATTAAACAGATCTCTCTATATAATCAAACCTTGATGGAATATGCCTGAATGTTGCTTTTAAATATTGCAAGTGTTCAGAAAAAAACTTGTGCGATAAAAAAAAAAAAAGAACTGCAATGTGGCAACCTAGGTCTTTAATGGGTAATGGAATTCTAGTCTCCAAGTGTAAGTATATTTTCTAATTCTACCTACCATTCTCTATTTACTTACTGTTCTATATCCATTGAATGCACATGTGTAGTTATTAATTATAATTAATTCACATGTGTAGATCATTAATATCTATCTTCTGATCACAGTTGACTTCTTGCTAATCTATAAAATGTCATAGTTATTCAATCTTCATATTCCATATTCCCCTAACATATTCTTGACCCTTATGATCAGCTGTTGGTACTTGTTCCTATCTAAACATATCCAGTTTGGGGGAATCCATTGTCACTCTAAAGCAAGCAGGCCAATCTTTCCCTCTACTTCACATGTCCCTTCTCTATAGAACATATTCATGACACGGGATAAAAGGAAGGACTTAGATGAAATAAATGAATATTCAAGTCTAGTTTAACTACCAGATATGGAAATTAAGTCAGTGGTTCTCAACATTCCTAATATGCAACCCTTTAATATAATTCCTCATATTGTGGTGACACCAACCATAAAATTATTTTCTTGATATTTCATAATTAATTATGTGACTGTTATAAATCATGATGTAAATATCTAATATACAGGATATCCTAAAGGAGTTACAACCCTCAGGTTGAGAACTACTGCCTTAAGATATCTGAGACCTAAGAGTTGAACCTGAAGAGCTAAGCTCTGAGACGTCTGTCTGTCAGGCAGCCTGAAAGGATGGCAGTTAACTCTAACAGTGCCTCACATTTATTTAGCTGCGCATCATCGCCTCTGATCATAATTCCTATTCCCTCAGGGCAAGAGTATCCTACTCACTTGGGTACACAGTGCTTGAGGTACAGAAGAACCAGAAACTCACACAAAAGAACCTGTTATCAGCTACACCCGTGATTATGGATTTCTTTAATTTGGGCATACTCCAGTGAAAGATGGCATAATACCACAAAGGACATCAAAGCCCAGATTTTAGCTCTCAATGCTCAACCTTGTGAGATAAAATGTATTCTATTATTTTTTTATATTTTGTCAAGATGGAAGGAACTGCTGGTATAACCCACCATGGTGTGGCTTAGAGTTTAAAAACCTCTGTTCATGTACAGTCCTCATACATATTCTACAACTCAGCACAGAAAAGAATAATTTTAAGGCAGTAAACACATAAGGCATTAGGATATTTCTTTAAAACGTTGTCTCCCATTCTATTCTTAGCTGTAGTATACCATATTTTACAACATACTATTCTGGCTAGTACTTATCATTTTAAAAATTGGTATGTGACTGCAATTCTTTTTA